CGCTTCGACATTCTTAAACCCTAATCGCAAGAGAGAACCAGATCTTGTCGTGCAAAAATGGTGAATCCTGACAACTCTCTCTATCTTATTTTTTCTGTTCTTTTTTTGTAGTTTGTGTATATTTTTCGTCAATCTTTGTTTCTTGTGTTTGTTGTGTTGATGACATTTCTCAAACTTGTCACAATTTGTTACTTTCAGTGTATGATGAAAGAGCCTTGCTGGGTTATCGCCAAGTAGCCTTGCTTGATTTGTAGTTTCTTGAGGTTGCCTGTTTATAATTAAGTTTGGTCAAATGTGGAATCCTTTTCATGTACTAAAGAATTGGATGACATTCATGAAGGAAACCTATGTTGTTCTTTGGGTTTTATATATATATTTTTTTAAAATCCCTGGCATGTCTTGAATTTACTCTTGAGGGCTTGATAATAATGGATCTGAGTGTGGTTGAAAGTAAATCTATTGCTGATCAATGTTTAGCATATTATTGAGCGATTGATTAATGAGTAGTCGTGTTCACTTGTGATGCCAAAACTGATTCCCCTGTTATTTATTTATTTATTTATTTGTATGGCTGTCACAGTAGTTCTTTAAATCATGTGAAGATTGCTTAGATATTCTTTATTAATATGCTTTGCCAAATTTATATATAATATCTCAGTTACCGATGCATTGGGTTGCTGCTTTAGATTTGGTATCTGGTTTAGATGATTAGAGCTAATTTTTAGTGCAGACCTTGGTATTTCTGATATCATTCTGTTAATGATGAAAGCTGCAGAGGCCAAAACCGAACAACTTGAGTAACCACCTTCCTAACAAATGATTAGTGGCTTTTCAGGCTGTATCTCCAATAATCAATCATTATTATTATTATTTATATATTACACATGTTTTCTCTTTCTTTAAATTAGTCCCTCATCCCTTGTATGTCCTGGATCTGCTAGTAACTATTTTCCAAAAACTTTTCCGTGCATGAAAGATGGTGTTGTGCATGTGTGGTTGCTAGATTGAGTGATTCCTGCAGTGAGAATTTTCATCCGGCGACGGGGATAATTGCTGTAACACAAGAAATTTACTATGAGCCTGACTTGTTCAATGAATTCTGAGTTTTGCTTTCATTTATTGTTCTCTTTGCAGACAAGAATCTTAGCACTGAATTCATCACATATCCTCACTGCAAGTTAATGTGGAAATGATGGCGGAGTAGCGATCTAAATAAACTGATGCAGGAGCCTGACTTATTCTTTTCTTTTCTTTTTTCCTCTTTCTTTCGGTAAATATACAGGAGTCCCTTTATGCTAGCCTTTTTCTCTAATCGCTGCCTAAGAGATAATGTGACCGCTGCTCAAACTATTTTATTAACTTTCCTCCAATTACCCAAAGTACTCTTCCGTGAAACTTATTTTTCCTGCACTATACCCTTCTCTCTAGTCCCTCCCAGTCTCTATCTCTCTCTTAGAATGTCTCTCTGACTCTATCTTCTCTCATAGATTACTCTTATTTGCCTTTTGTAGTCATTCTTGCTCTAGCTGTCTCTCTTCTCTCACTTCATAGCAAGAATACAGAATTTTCATTGAAATACACAGTCCTGTAAGTGGAAAATCAATGTCAACTCTTTCTTTCTCTCTCTACATATGTGTGTATTAGAGCTGATTTGTCAGCATGTACTGAACTCTGTTTCTATCCCTCTTAAAAATATATTTGCCATATTTGTGCTGTTAAGGGCTAAAATTAATTAATTATAAAAAAGGGCTAAAATTAATCTATGCATGTAGTCGATTATGAAGGATAAGCAGTTATTGGAGCTCAAATCAGAATCGAAAGCAGCTATTGAAGCTCAACTGTGTTTGATTGGGGCTCAACTGTTGGAGTTCTCATCAATGCGCATGTGTTCGATTTGGGCAGACTGATTTCCTGCGGCAATAAGGTAAGAAATTTTGATTTCCTGCACAAGATTTTCTATTTCTCTGTCTGGTTGTTTTGAAATGAAATGGAAATTGTGCTAGATGATGTTTATGCTTTTTGTGTGAACTCTTTGCATTTGAAGAGTTGAAAGAAAAAGATTGAGGGGAAAAAATGATTGATCTGGTTTTCCTTTATATTAAATGTAATTTACACTTTCAGACATACATATTTCATTTAATGTATCTATTATAAACAAGTGCAACATCTAGGAGTTATCAATCTCGGAAGAAAATTTATCTCATCATACGTGACTTTACGACACATGTTTTGATGCTTTGGAATAATGCCAAGAGAAGTTATTCCGATGGTGAGGATAATAGATATTTTGTTAGGATAGAGTTTTATACATGGAGTTCACCTCCTTTTCTCCTGGTAAAAGAAGCATACACCAAGGAAGCTTAGTGCCTTGCGATCGACATGATCTGCTGATAAGTAATGCAGGTCAAAAGCATACACCATTGGTTTTCCAGTTTTGTATCTAATAGAAGAAAAATTAGAACTTCTTGAGTAGCCTTGAAAGGTGTCCTGTGGATAACACGGTATTTTTGGGATTTTGTCTCGTGTGGCCTTCTTATTGGTCCAACACGTGTTTTTTAATTAGGGTGACAGTGAGGTTTGAACTCGAGACCTTTGGCTCTGATACTATGTTAGCAACCATCTACTCCAAAAGCTTATGCTGTTAGAGAGGGTGCAACTTTTATATATATCCTTCAACATGATTCTTATTGTAGACAATTCTGCACAATTATGCAGCTCATAAACACACTGATGTGTACTCATTAGGTGTTCTTATCTGATGTTGATTTTTGAAAACATAGATTGTTATATTGTTTGATAAATACTTATAGCTGATATTCTTCCTTTTTTATTTATACTTTTCCTTATCTTCTAGAAATTGGTTTAGTGATTCTTATTTTGGTGTAAACATGATGCAGGCACTGAGAAAATGCAATAATTATTGTTTATTTGGGTGTGAATAAGTTTTGTTCTCTCTCTTGGACTATAAGCGAGTCTCCATTTATTGGATTATGAAATTGCATGTTGACATGAATTTTAGCCTTTTACTACCAATGGCAAAAATCATTCTCAGTGTACTTAACACAATTATGGACTCCACTATTTTGAGCTATGGTCACGTTAATTTCAGAACTTTTCCTTAATTGGTGAATTAGATAATAAAAGATGGAAAAAAAAAATAAAAGTACCTTTGACCATTTAAATTTAAGAATATAGGTTCCTCCTCTTCTGCAATGTAGTAGAGGCCTAAACTGAAATTTCAAAATGCAAACTATCTTTCAAAAATTTATAAACTCAAATAGCGAAATGGTCATTTGGTACAGCAACATTTCTTTGAATTTCAGTGAGTCCATTGATCTATTTAATGCTTAAAAAACAACCGAATCCTTTCCTCACTATTCAGAAGGTGTTCTAGTCTTTTGAGCTGAAAATAGAAAAGTGAGACAAACTGTGTGGAGATTTTTTTATTGAGTGGCCTATTGTCATCTCTAACTTATGGTGTTCAGTCTCATTATAAAGGTGTTGATGTGGTACCAAGTTAAGACTCAATATTAGTCACTATTACTAGCAATGCCGGATGAAAATATGAAAGTATTGTAATATTTAGATGAATTCTTTTGCTAATATTCTAGCTTTCACGGTAATCTATAACTAGCACAAAAAACACTATTGAGCTTGTGACTTTTTAGTAGTTTAGAGTTAAAACCATTTCTATTTGTTATTGATCTAGTTACTAATGCTTCATGTGTTCTTTGCATGACACTTATTTTTGTTGAGGTGTCTATAGTAGCAACTTATGCACTTCACAACCAAAGGGCCTCTAGCCCAATGGTACAATCTCTCTCTCCCCCAAACACCCCCCCCCCCCCCCCCCCCCCCACACACACACACACACACACATTCCTTGGCTTGAACCAAAAGGGCAGGTTGAGAGTTTTAGTCCCACTAGGGACATATTACGGATAAAAAAATAATAATAATAATAATAAAAAATAAAATAAAATTATACACTAATTAAAATGAATGGCAGAACCATTGTTAGCTTCTTTTTTTTTTTTTTTTTTTTTTTGTGTGTGTGTGTGTGTTTTTAATATTCTATTTTCTGGTTGCTTGAAGAATTAGGATAACACGTGTAGAATGGTTGTCTATTTATTATGTTTTTCTATTTCCTTATGGTTTAATCTATATGTTAGGATGTGAGGCAGTTAAATTACTTTATACTCCCTCTGTCCCATATTAATAGTCCATTATCTCATTTTTTGCTATCCCATTTTAGTTGTCACATTTCAAAAATCAATACACTACTTTTTATTACATTCCCAATTTACCCCTAAAAGATTTAACTAATTAAAATTTCAAAATAAGTGGACCCCATTAAAAATATCTTTTCCATACTAGTTTTACAAATTTTTAGGGAGGGGCAATTTTGGAAATGCATCATTTACTAATGTAATAAACTATGTTAAAAATTGTTGCCTTAAAAACTGTGCAATATGGATTTGGACAATTATAGAGGGACAGAGGTAGTATTACATATTTTGGACTAATTGCTCCCTAATTCAAATTTTCTTTGAACTTGTTGGGAACTGAGTTTGTATCATTTTGAAATTTAATGGAATAGACATCATGTTACCCTGTTTGTAGGGCTTCATTGTTTTTAGTTGTTTTGATCATTTGAGTGGACATCAAACTAAGAAGTTTCTAGATTCATCTCAGTAATTATCCTGTTAGTAGGGTTTCATTGTTTTTAGTTTCTGCCAGTAAATATGAAACTATTGTAGTGTTTAGATGAATTCTTTTGCTAATATTCTAGCTTTCACAGTAATCTATAATTAGCACCAAGAACACTTTTGCTAATATTTGCTATTGATCTAGTTACTAATGCTTCATGTGTTCTTTGCATGACACTTATTTTTGTTGAGGTGTCTATGGTTGCAACTTATGCACTTAAAAACAACAACACCAACACCACACCCGCCCCCCCCCCCCCCCCCCCCCCCCCCACACACACACACACACACATTCCTTAGCCTGAACCAAAAGGGGAGGTTGAGAGTTTTAGTCCCACTAGGGACATATTGCGGATAATGAGTGTGTTTTTGCTTTAATTTCCAAAAAAAAAAGGATGAGAAAATTATGCACTTCAGAACCATTGTTAGCTTTTCCTTTTTTTTTTAATATTATATTTTCTGGTTGCTTGAAGAATAGGATAACACGTGCAGAATGGTTGGCTAGAATTTTATTATGTTTTTCTATTTCCTTGTGGTTTAATCTATATGTTAGGATGTGAGGCAGTTAAATTACTTTATATTACATATTTTGGAATAATTGCTCCCCAATTCAAATTTTCTTTGAACTTGTTGGGAACCGAGTTTATATCATTTTGAAATTTAATGGAATAGACATCATGTTACCCTGTTAGTAGGGCTTCATTGTTTTTAGTTGTTTTGATCATTTGAGTGGACATCAAACTAAGAAGTTTCTTGATTCATCTCAGTAATTATCCTGTTAGTAGGGCTTCATTGTTTTTAGTTTCTGCCGGTAACATGTCAACTAGCTACTGTTTTATATATTTTTTATATTTGTATTGATACATCATGATACTTTTTTGCCATTTTGTAGACATTTTGTAGCAGCTTAAGCCGTCATAATTGCTGAGAATTCTCAAACTATATGGCAGCAGTTTATCTGCTGGAAAAACCCAGAATTAGCGTGGGACTTTCTGAAGCCGCCATTGAAGCTCAACTGTTTTCGGTTAGGGCTCAGCTATTGAAGTTCTTGTGGGGCGATAAGGTGAGAAAATTTGATCTCCTGCAGTTGATTTTCTTTTTCTTTGTTTGGTGGTTGTGAAATGAAATGGAAATTGTGCAACATGATTTTTATGGTTTTTGTACGCATTCTTTGCATTTTAAGAATTGAAAGAGAGAGGAAAAATAAATCTGGTTTCCCTGAAGTAAGTTAAATACCTTTCTTTCTTGTTTTTGGCTTGGTAGGGGTGGGAAAATTTGGTTAGATTTGTTTCAATATTTTAGGCAAAAATTTGATGAGTCAATTTTTGCTCAGGAAGTGAAGAAGCTGCAGGCCGAGCAGTTTCAAGCCTATTGAACCGGTCATTTTTGAATCTTTCGAAGGGAACACCGTGTTGTGTTGTTGGAGCCTAATGTGTGCCAAAGTAACAAAACTTGCTACATAGCCAATTTGTGGTTCCTTGCCTTGGTATTAGAGTGATTTTAATTCGTGAATTAAGAGGGAGATGTCCTTCATCTTACTGAAATAATAATAGGATAATAGTCCATTTAATTCGTGAATTTTAATTCATGCTTGCTTGAGCATATAAACATGTATATTGTATAAAAAAATGTGTATTAGAGCTGATCTGATTTAGCAGCATGTACAAACCTCATCTTTTATTTTTCCTTAATTGTACAAACCTCTCTTTCCATCTCCCAACGAAACATATTTTCCATACATGTGTTTTTAGCACTAGATAAACAAATGCATGTGGTTGATTATGAATCATAAGGAGCAGCTATTAAAAGCATCTGAACTCAAATGATGCTGGCCAGCTAACAATTGATGTAAACGTCTTTGACTGCAGCATCAAAGGTTAATACTGGTCTCTCTCTCTCTCTCTCTCTCTCTCTCTCTCTCTCTATATATATATATATATATATATATTTGCACATCCATACATATTAAGAGCAAGCTTGTGGAAAGCTCATAGTCCAAAAAACATCTATCCCGAACCAATTGAGTCCTCACCCTTTGAGCCCAAAGGTTATGTTTATGGTTGGGACACCCAACTATAAATTAAAAGGGAGGTATATTTATTTGCCGGTGAAAACTTGAATGATAGGGTGTATACAAAATTGAAGATAATGCATTATATACTAAAATAGCCTTCAAAAAAAAAAAAAAAAAATTCCAATTCATATTTATTAAATATCTTATGATTAAATCATGCATGCGTGACAACCTTTTTCTTTTATCAATTTGACATGGAACTGGCACATAACCCAAACTTCATTCTTCGTTATCAAAGAGAAAATCATGTTGTTAAATATGGTTAAATTTGCACATTATTTTTAACATATAGAAGTCAAATTCAGTAGCATGCTCTATTAATATGTATTTCTTTGCTCATATTATCATCTCTCCATTCACTAACATGCTTATAATGAGATTCGAATTATTTAAAAATAAATAAATAAAAATCCTAAAATCTGAATTAAAAACCTTGATAACATCTTGTAACAAGTCTTTCATTCTTTTATGAAAAATCCAGGGATAAAAACACAATCTCTCACAAAAACACACTCTTTCCCTCTCTTCATGTGATGAGTCCGAATTCATATTCGAAGGGCACATCATTGTCATATTGAGTATTTAGGGACCTCTGGCGAAAAGAAACCGATTGGGCAAAGCTACCCATTTTTGGCTCTCAAACAAGAGAGGCTTCATTACCATCTCTCTAGCACGCCTTTTGACCATTATGTATACACACAGTATCTTTCCTGCACTAAACCCCTCTCTAGCACGCTTCTCCCAGTCTCTATCTCTTACTCTGCATAGCACACTACAGCTGCAAAACAGGGGCTGGCCAGAGAACTTCATTTATACACACATATTATAGATATATATTTTACATCTGTCTACCATTACACACACACACACACACACACACACACACAAGCTTCATTACCATCTCTCTAGCACGCCTTTTGACCATTATATACTCACACAGTATCTTTCCTGCACTAAACCCCTCTCTCTAGCACGCCTCTCCCAGTCTCTATCTCTTACTCTGCATAGACTTTTAGAATACAAACTTTGGACATTTTAAAGGTGTTTGGCCAAAGATCAGGCAACAACAAGGACTCATTGGCTCATTGCTCTGCTTCTCACCATATTCACCTGCTTGTTAGCTGGTATGTGATTTACTGCTTATTTAAGCTGAATGAGTTGCTTGTTCTTTGTTTAACTCTGTTGTACAACTAAGCTTCCTCTTTATATTATATTTTTTTAATTTTGTTGAGTGGAAAAGAAAACGCCTATTTAATTATTCATGGGTTCTTCAGAGAATGCCTTGAATTAATTTTCTTGTATTGTTTATATGCTCTCAAGCCAGTTTTCCAGTTGACAAAGACACAAAAGGAACTATATATATATATATATATATATATATATATATATATATATATATTTATATATATATCTGATTCTCTATCTACACACTCATTAAAATATATGGGCGTGACTAAAATTATAGTCTAAAAGAACTTAGTATATATCAGTGAAAAGAATTACAAGGATAACAGGTTCAATATAAAAAGGCCTTAAGTACATTAAATCTGCCTGAATTTTCTTCTCTTAAGAAACTCCTTTAAACTATCATTTTGACACTTAACCACCTAATCTATTTCATTTGTCGCAAAAAAATCCCACTCTATTAATCATCCATTGAATTACTAATTTGTGTTGTAGTTCGTGGTTTGTATTAACTCTGTGTTGTAGTTCGTGGTTTGTATTGTTGAATGACGTGATGAAATGGAGTATTTTTACTTCAGTATGTTTTGGACCTGATTTGTGTTGGTTTTAAATTGTTTGATTTGTTAATTTCTGGACCTGATTTGTGTTGGTTTTAAATTGTTTTTTTTTATTGGATCATTATTCTTCCCAATCATTTTGTCATATATACATATATATATTCACCCATGTATCTTTTTATGTTCAAGACTTGCTATTTAAAAAAATTAACAAGAAGATCCTCTCTTAAGATGTATATTTTTTAACTGCTGAAGCCTGCTGCCAGCAGTCTGGTCCAGTCCATTTAGGTCGGTCGCTGGGCCGCCAAAGCCTACTTCAACAAGTCTGGTCTAGCCCTTTCAGGCCAGCCACTGGGCCACCACTACAAAGCTTATTGGGCCACCGAAGCCTGCTAAAACAGTCTGGCCCACAATACGGAATAGGCCAGGGCCCAAATTACCCTATAATGGGATCCTGATTGGTCAATTTTATTAGATGTTAATCAACATGGTGTGTTCTGTGATACTGGTATTTGATAGCAGTCACTTATTATGCAATTGAGTGATTCACTTTCCATTGCTTTGTTTGGTCACCAAGAAAATATAGAGCAAAGAAAATAGCCCTATTACATAAAGTTAAACTTGCAAGGGTCTGAGAAGGAATTGGGTTGGGATATGGTAATGAAATTATATTTTAGTCTCTTATTTTTTTATTATTAATTTTTTTTTTTCCTTTCAATTTTCGGTCTTCCTGCACAATGATTGGAGCACTTTAACTATTTAGTATTTACACTCGCTTGTTTATTTGAAAAGTGTGGTGGATTATTTAATATATTAAACCAGCAATTAAATTTGTCCTCCTCTAATGGATTGTTTAATATTTGGATTCCAGTCATATATATTGAGTTGTGTAGCCATTTGATATTGCAGTCAAAAAGATGCCCAACAAGTCATGCAAGAATTGTTTTGGTTTCATTGTGGTTCACAATGTAGAGAACCCTAGAATGTGTGCCTGTGCACCCAGGCCGCAAAGGTCGGAAGCATTTTCTTGCAGCCTATGTGACAGATTATATGGCACACAATCGGCTTTGGTGAATCATCAAGCCTCAAAACACAGAAATGAACCGGAGTGTGCCTCATGCCACATCAAATTCAGAAATGAACCAAAGGTGGTGGAACACCGGGGGAGAGCTCACTGACAGATTAGGATTGTAAGCGGGTAGGAATGGTTGATAGCTTATAGCTGGTGGGTCTAAAGGTGGCTTTGCGGACATCTCAAGCCTTTGGAACACGCAAGAAGAAAGCTCGTTGCTAGTTTTAATTTGCGTTCTTAGTTGATGTTGTTTTGCTGGACTGTTTTAACCTAGTTTCTATTGTTTCCAGTTGTTCTATATGACAGTTTAACTTTTGATTACCTTTGCACTTGGACTGGAACCATAATCTCAGTTGACAAAATGAATTCACTTTCCCCCCAATTCCATTAAAAAAAAAAACTTGCCAAACAATATTAATCATACAATTGCTCAAATAGCTGCTTATGCTTCATAATCAACTGCATGCATCGATTAATTTTAGCCCTAACAGCACAGGTATGGCAAATATATTTTTAAGAGAGAAACAGAGTTCAGTACATTCTGATAAATCATTCAGCTCTAATACACACATATATTTATATATGTATAATATGCTTATATGTAGAGAGAGAAAGAGCGTTGACACTGATTTTCTAGTTACACGACTACGTATTTCAATAAAAACCCTGTATAAATACGAAGTGAGAGTAGAGAGAGCTAGAGAGAATGACTGCAAGAGAGAAATAAGAGTAATCTATGAGAGAAGATAGAGTTAGAGAGACATTCTAAGAGACAGATGATTGTTCTTTTGGGGTTTGAATAGCTTTGTGCATAGTCTGAGGGGTGTAGTCCAGGAAAAATGAGTTTCACGGAATAGTACTTTGGGTAATTGGAGGAAAATGAATAAAATAGTTCGAGTAGCGGTCACATTATCACTTAGAATGTCTATCTGACTCTGTTTGTTCGTAGGTTAGAGAAAAAGGCTGGCATAAAGAGGCTCCTGCAGCTGTTTATTTAGACCGCTGCTATATATCTGCCATAATTTCGTCATTAACTTACAGTGGGGATATATGATGAATTCAGTGCTAAGATTCTTGCCTGCAAAGAGTACAACAAATGAAAGCAAAACTCCGAATTCATTGAACAAGTCAGGCTCATAGTACCGACAAAAGAAAAGATACATAATTGCAGCTATGTAAATTTCTTCTGTTACAGCAATTATCCACATCACCAGATGAAAATTCTCACTGCAGGAATCACTCAATCTAGAAACCACACATGCACAAGACCATCATTCGTGGACGAAATTTTTTTTGGAAAAGAGTTACTAGCAGATCCAGGACATACAAGGGATGAGGGACTAATTCAAAGAAAGAGAAAACATGTGTAGAAATAAAAATAATAATTGATTACTGGAGCTACAGCCTTAAAAACCACTAAACTTATGTTAGGAAGGTGGTTACTCAAGTTGTTCGGTTTTGGCCTCTGCAATGAAATTAGATCCAATCATCAAAACCAGTAACCCAATGCATCGGAAACAGAGATATTATATATAAATTTGGCAAAGCATTTTAATAAAGAATATCTAAGCAACATGCTTTAAAGAACTACTATAACAACCATACAAATAAAAACCTATCCAGGGGAATCAATCAAATTATCACTACTGATCAATTTTGGCATCACAAGTGAACACGACAACTCATTAATCTAGCACTCAATAATAAGTTAAAACATTGATCAGCAAGAGATTTACTTTCAACCAAACTCAGATCCATTATTATGATCAAGCCCTCACAAGTAAATTCAAGACATGCCTGGGAATTTTAAAAAAAAAAAAATTAAAGAACTACATAGGCTTCCTTTATGAATGTCATCCAATTCTTTAGTACATGAAAAGGAATCCACATTTGACCAAAAATAATTATAAACTGGCAACCTCAAGAAATAGAAAACGTCTCAACTCTAAACTACTAAAAAGTCACAAGATCAATAGTGTTCTTTGCAATAGTTATAGATTACTGTGAAAGCTAAAATATTAGCAAAAGAATTCATCTAAATTTTACAATACATTCATATTTTCATCTGGCATTGCTAGTGATAGTAACTAACATTCAGTCTTAACTTGGTACCACATCGACACCTTTATCATATGACCGAACAACATAAGTTAAGGAGATGATAATAGGCTTACTTCAATGTAATAGATTAAGTCTACAAAATGATATCTGGTTTGAAACACCATTTATTATTTGTAAACTACGTGCATTTGGTTATATAGCAGAAAGGTCTTTCATTTGCCAAACGATAAAGAGACCCAGTAATGCATGCCACTCAATAAATAAATAAAAATCAAGTCACGGTTTGTCTCCTTCAAGTAGCCTTCTTATTCTCAACCCTAAAAAATTGAAGTATATAACACTACTTGGAGCTTAAAAATGCCAACTATAAGAATTTTGAGATACTAACTTGAGCACAAAGATTGGAGCTTAAAGTAAGGGATAAGATCAAATCTTCTTTTCTATTTTCAGCTCAAAAGACTAGAACACCTTCTGAAGAGTGAGGAAAGGACTTGGTTGTTTTTTAAGCATTAAACAAATCCATGAACTCACTAAAATTCAAAGAAATGTTATACCAAATGACCATTTCACTATTTGAGTTTATAAATTTTTGAAAGATAGTTTGCATTTCGAAATTTTAGTTTAGGCCTCAGCTAAATTACAGGGGAGGAAGAACCTATATACTTAAATTTGAATGGTCACAAGTACTTAACTTATTTCCTTCTTTTATCTAATTTACCAATAAAGGAAAAGTTCTAAAATTACCATGACCACATAAAGCTCAAATTAGTGGAGTCTGTAATAGTGTTAAGCATACTCATAATGATTTTTTCCATTTGTAGTAAAAGGCTAAAACTCATGCCAAAATGCAATTGCAAAATCCGATAAATGGAGAGTTGCTTATAGTCCAAGAGAGAGAACAAAATTTATTCACCGAAATAAACAATAATTGTTGCATTTTCTGAGTGTCTGCATCAAGTTTACACCAACATAAGAATCACTTAACCAATTTCTAGAAGATAAGAAAAGTATAAATAAAAAAAGCAGAATATCAGTTATTAAGATTAATCACTATCAATCGAATCAGTGCTTTCAAAAATCAACATCAGGTAAGAACACTTACTTTGTGAAACACAACTGATCAGATTACATTGTTATAAGCTGAGTTCACATCAGGGTGTTCATAAGCTGCAATAAGAATCATATAGAGAGGCATTTGACCCGTGCAGACAAACATACCCTGGTAGCTGAAACAGATGAAAAGGAGGTCTGCGTTAGTCCACATGACACCTTTTAAGGCAACTCAACAAGTTCTAATTATTCTTTTATTAGATATAAATCTGGAAAATTCTGCCAAATATGTGCAACAAAACAGGATTTAGAAACCATGCCAAACCAATGGTTATGTTATGACCTGCAGGCCACTAAGCTTCCTTGGTGTATGCTTCGAACTATTATTAAATTATATCCTAACAAAATGTCTATTATCTTCACCATCGAAATAACTTCTGAAAGTCCTTGGCATTATTCCAAAGCATCAAAACACGTGTCGTAAGGTCATGTATGATGAGATAAAT